AGGAATAAAGTTTTTGCCCATATTAATTCTCAGGACTGCCTATAGTCCATCCAACATTTTTTCCTCCTGACCAGGACTGCCACATAACCAATGATGCTATCCTACCAGTGCTCAGCACCTCTGCATAAAACTCCTTCAGATGTGACTAGACATCTAAGTATTTAAACTTAAAACCTGATTTGAGTTTGGGTCAAATTTTTATGTTGGACTGAGTGAAGGGAAGGGGCAGTTAGGACATACATTTTAATTGTTAATTCAGCTTAATTAATTTATATGCTCTGATTTTTTTCATATCCAACTCTATGAGTATGTGCATTTTTACACTTATTGTGACTGTATTCTAATTTGAACACTGCTTTAAAGTGATTCAACTACTCAAATAAAATCTTGACTATTCCTGTAATGAAGCTGAGTTTCTCAACAGGCATGAGATTTTAATATTCACTAAAAAAGAAAATCAAGATTAAAAAATCGAAGTCCTGCTATTTGTACAGAAAATGAGAAAAGTCAAAGCAACAAGCAATGGTCATTTTCTGAAATCTTTAAAAATCTTTTAACAAAAAGTTGGAAAATGTCTCAATGCCTTTATAGCTTTTACAGTTAAGAACTCCATAAATGCCCTCTTTTTATATAATTTTAATATCATCTAATAAGTTAGATGGTTGTCAAGGCTTACTTTTCTGCAAAGAAAGGCAGTTCTTGTTTCTAGGTCCTACAAGGAGATATGCAAAATAAGACTGAGGCTATCAAGGGCCAAGCTAACAATTTGACATGTAAGATGATTGCAGTGGACTGAAATACATTAAAAATATGTAAAACATGACTCACCTTTGGAGGTTGTTCAGGATCTTTAAAATTGGGAAGAGAAAGGCAAGAATAAATATGATCTTCTCTATCTTGTGTTTTAGGGAAACCAAGTACTTGATGAGGAAGTTTCTCATTAAAGAATTCCAACTATTCGTGTAAACAGAATGATAAAATTAGTAACCTACTTCTTTGCAATACAATGATATAGTGAAGCTAAACAATACTTATCAGTGTTTCCTAAAACAATTTTATAACAAGGTTGATTTAAATTTAAAATAAAGCTAGCAAGCAAATAGCATGTGATTCTGTTACCCAAATCTTAATGACATTAGAAGACTAGACATTATATACCTTCTAAGGTGATTCAATAGGAAGTACTTATGAATACATATACAGCTACCTACCTCCCTGAGTTTCTGCCTCATTTTTCCTTTGTGGTGTTTTCCTTAAATCTCTTATGGTGCTTTTCAAGACTATCCAAACTAAACAGAAGGTGTTAAGAAATTAGAATTAAATTTGTTAAGTATAATAATACTGTTATTTGTAAAGTCCTTATCTGTATAAGAGATGCATACTCAAATACTTGCAGGAGAAATGATAGGTAGGATGATTACAATTTAACTTTAAAATATCCCAGCAAAAAAAAAGATAAAAGGGGGATAAAATAAAATTGGCAAGACATGGACAATTATTTTCTCTACTTTTATATATGAAAATGTTAGTAAGAAGCAAAATTATGCCTGAAGAGTAATCCTCAAAACTGTCAAGGTCATCAAATGCAAGGAAAGTCCTAAGACTCTCACAACTAAAGGAGTAGTAGGAGATATGACTACGAAATGTAATATATCTTAGATCCTGAAACAGAAAAAGGATATTAGGGGGGAAGGTGAGGAACTCTAAATTATATATGGAATTCAGTAAGCAGTTATGTATCAGTATTGGTTTCTTAATTGTACCAAATGGACGATACAAATCTAAGACATTAATAACAAAGAAAATTAGGTGTCAGGTAGATGAATACTCTCTGTACTATCTTTACAATAATCCTATAATCTAAAACTAAAGCTTTTTAAAAGTTAAGAATTTATTTTATAAGGAAAAAATGATTACAAATCAATAAACATGGATTTTAAATTTTGTCCTTACTCACTGGCCTGCAATAAACTTTGTGTATTTTTTTAAAGATTTATTTATTCATGCATACAAGAACTGGGGTACAGGCCAGATGCAAGGGTGAGAGGATTCACCAGAGACAGAGCAGGGAATAGAACAGGCAGACTGACTGAAATACAATGCTAAGAGGAGCAGTGGGCAAGACAGGAGCGAGGTCTGCTGTGCCATGTGGGATACTCACCAGCTGGCCGCGATCAAACCCGCACTGCAGAGGCTGCGGACAGCTTCACAGCGCTGCACTCAAGCGCCTGCACCACCAGGGGAGGCCCAATTTTTTCCTCACTGATCAATTCACTAGAAAAATGCTATTCATTTTCTGAGTTCACAGAGAATAAATTTTGAAAATTCAGTCTCCCTATGGACCATTGCAGCATCCAGCCATACATACAATATACCAACAAACTATAACTGCAATAAAATATATTTATTTGTCCCAATTGTTTTATAATTTGAAAAAAAAAAATCCAGTTACCAAAATCTTCAAGCAGTAAGTGAAATCAAACTTAAAAAGAAAAAAAAAGTTTTCATTTCATAGTCTCTTGGACTTAAAAGAGTTCATTTGTGTTCCAGAGATAATACTAAACTAATACGGTCATGTAAACCTGCCAATTTCCTTGCTGAGGATTTCATAAGACAATCTTTTGCAATGTAAGCAACTATGAAAAGATGACTGTTTTTTTTTTTTTTTACAAGTTCATGTTGTATTTACAAAGTGTCCAAAAGAAAAACCAATACTTTTGCTTAAAAATAGAAATACAAAAGGCAAATTTGCAGGTTTTGACCTGTGTCAGAATCATTGGAAGCGCCTGTTAAAACCAATTGCTGGGTCTCACTTCATTCAGGTGTTAAGTGTGGGCCAAGAATTTGTATTTCCAACAGGGTTACACAGGAATTCAATTCCACTAGTGTGGGTATCTCAATTCCACTAGTGTGGGTATCACACTGAGAACCACTGGAAAAAAGTTTTATGACAATGATTATGTTATAATCATTGTATATTTGTATGTTATAATCATCGTAAATGTGTATGTCATAGCATAGAGCACAAGCACTATTCTGTGACCTCAAATTACCTTCCCAATCTGTACCTTGCACAAATTTTAGACAATCAAATGAAAATAGTGATTTAACACATGGCACATGACTACTGAATTACTAATTATTGAATATTTTTATGCTATAGGTTAGGGTTATGCTCAAAGTGTTTAAGTGAGTCACTATTCTTGGTAGAACCTCTTAAGGTATATTGATCTTAAGAATTATAAAGAAATTAAGTACTACTAAAAAGGCCTAATTGATGATCATGGGATTGATGATCATGGGATCATCAATTTCTAAAATATCATTTACTTATTAATCTCTTTACAATTTTCACTAACTCACTTTAGTAAAAAAGGCAGTTAATGTGAAAATTACTGGCATAATTATACTTCAGTGAGGTTATTATTGTCTTGAACCACTGATATATGAAACCGTCAGACCATTATGGAAGGGAAACAATTTTCCAACTTCTCTTAACACTATAACATAAATGTATTGTTAGCAAAAGTGACTTGCAGGTTCTTCAAACGGGATTTCCTATACCTTTGACAGATAACTTTGTTTATGCTTTTGCACTATAAGAATGAAAGAAACCAAATACCTTTTTATTAATTTTTCTTTATAATTTGCTTTCATAAAACTAAAATATACTGATGACATCATACACCTTTGTTGAATCACAGTAAATAGTTCAAATTTTAAAGGAACACAAATATTCCCCTGGATAAAACTCTAGAATACAAAGATTATGAATTTCATCCTATGGTATATCTAGACAGATAATGGTTGAATTTATATATGGAGTAAGATTAAAGTTTGCAAATACATATAAAGTGAAAGTCCAGCTTACCTTTCTAACTATTTTTTATTATTGTTCCATTACGTGACACCAAACTGAAAGCTTTTTCCTTTAGTAAAAGCATCTATAGTAAATCTCAGAAATTTTTTGAAAGTGAGTATAAAACTGTACATTTCGCCCAGGATTAAGAGAAGGTTTTGCTTTTTTTAGTTCTGCTTTTAACCTTATTTAATTAGATATCAAAATAACATATAAAAGGTAATATAACAGGTCCGACCCCTACCAAGGTACAGCATTACATAATTCCTTCCATGAGGCTGACCAGGAATAAAATGTAACCTCCTGTAGAGGTCAAGAGAGAAACTAAAGGAATGGGATTAAGAAAATATGTGCATAGTTTACAGCTACTGACAGAATTGTGTGCAAACATTGAGTGAATCTAAAAAAAAGAAAAGGGATTTGATAAAATCTAAGATAATGGGCTCCGTTTCCAATTAAGACTAGAAGAGGTTGCAAATACTTTCAATAGGTTTGCTAATGGAAAATGTTCCTATGTAAGGACTTGAGACATTATCTAAACAGTCTGACTGAAGTATGCTTGTTCATTTGTTAGACATGTGTGACATTACTGAGAAGATTAATTTAGAGTTCTGGAAGTAAAGACTGATTAGCTGGTGCAGGTGTATGAAGAATGACACATTAGGTAAAAGGTTATGTAAACCATTTACTAAGAAAACAGACTAGATTTTCACATTCCCAGACCCTACTTATTTTTTTCAAACTATATAGGTTAAATTCTTTGAACACCTTCGGATTAAGTTGGTAATAATTCCTGAATTAAGAAACACTTTATATAGTTTTCAAACTATAAATAAATTTTCAGTCAAGCTGAACATGTGTTAATTTCCTCACTTAGTCAAGAAGCTCAACATTACAATATTCTGATTTTATCAACACACTATTTTTGCTTTATGAAACATTTACCCCTTAAAATATAAAAGATTCTTAAAGCACTGTACACTAAGAAGACACATACATTAATGAAAACATTAGCAACATTCTTAATTTCAAAAGAAAAACTCAACGTCAGGATTATACTGATGGAATAAGAAAAAATGATAAAACGATATTAAAAAACTAAATGAAAATTTACTATTTTATTGAGTTTTTATTGTTTTACATGCAAATCATATTAAAAGTTAATCTATATTAAGTTGACAACTACTCCACAATGAAAACTTACGCAATGGAAATATGAAAGCTGTCTACACAATACTAATGTGATCAATAACTCTACAAATACTTGGATTGCCTGAATTAGCTAATTTTTCAACAAAACAGTAAATTTAACTTTCATATGATCTTTGCTGATATTTAAATTTAGAGGGAAAAAAAAACAAATCCCAAATACCTAGTCAAATCTTTCAAGAAACAAATTCACCAAAAAAGTAATAGATATATATTAGGTATCAAAATAAAAGGAAAATAGGCATGTAATAAAAGACTATGAACTGATCATCAGTAATAGCTGACTAATACCAAAGGGAGAGCCAATGTATGAATGGTTTATGAGACTTAAAATATCTAAAAACAAACCAGTAATCAATACTGTGTACAAAAACACTAAATCACATATACAATCCAGAGTTTGGTATACCTGACATACATTTAATTCTTCTTACTTCATTACTGCTACAAATTGCTTTAAAACAGTCTTTCCATAAGGTATAATTAAATACAGTGAGACACTTCCCAATGTGCATCAGGTCTTTCATTCCACTGTTCAGTAAATGCTACAGCAAATTAAACTGTACCTATTAGCCAGACCTAAAAGACAATGGCTGAATAATTAATACAAAGAAAAATACTTTTGAGTGCACTATTCAGGTTAGACTAGCTAATGCTAGTTAAGACTGCACTTTGTACTAATGACATACACTACTACATAGAGCATACAGCTAGGTGGGCGGGTTGGTCTATGTCCTTGGTTTTACTTTGTTTTTGTTTTTTTTTAAATCCTGTAATATCTATAACCGTATACCCAGTTGAGTAAGACACACTTGATGAAAGAATAGTTAGTATAAAATTTACTGTAACTCCCTCACTCATATTCCTCTCATATACTAAAGTGTAATTGTTTGGGGGATAAAAGGGGCAAATGACTTTAACATGCTATGAGATTCTACCTAAGTAAAATGAAATTTAAAAAAAAAATCAAAGGCTCAGGTTTTCTTTGAGTATGGTTGAAGTTTTTACACAGAATGGAAAAGGAACTGCTATACTTAATGAGAAACTAATAGCATGGGGGTAACTGCCTTTGTTGATATATCTGATGAGCAAAATGTTCACTGTCTAATAGTATTATGTATTAATGGGACAACGAAAGTGTCACTAGTTCTCAGATACTTGATAAATGTTGCAATCCTAATCAATGTGATATCCTTTATTTGAGAGCCTAGTTATCAAGCAAAGGAAGTCAAAGTTTTGGTACATATTAGGGATGGTTCAGAGATAGTATGAGAATGTTTAGCATTGATTTTAATATGTGGTTTTAAAATTCTGATTTCTAATGTTAGTTCTAATATATTCTCCCCAATGAAAAACTGGTGTTTGGTTTCTTAATTGCAAAATCAAAACATATGCCTGAATCTCGTAATTGGTTATTAATAAAATTATGATTAAATGCTAATATTTTGTGAAACTTACTAGGCATTGACTCAAAATCACGAACTACCAAAAAAAAAAAAGATGAAAGAGGACTACTTACTGTACATATAAATAATGTAAAGAACATTAGATCAGTTACTAAACCCAAGGTCTTACCTAGGTTGCCTTATGGCAGTGAACATATAAATACATGTAATACATTGACTTCCATTATTTTCAACAAGTATTTCAACAAGTAAATCCCACCTTTTAATTTCTAATCTAAAAATTCAAATTAGTCCAGAAAACAGAAATGAGATGCAACTGATACAAGTTTTTTACCTTAGGAATACAATGCTTCTATCACAATGTTTAAGATTATTTAAAAAAAAAAATACACTGCTTCATGACCTGCCCACAAAGCTTAATTTTATGCTTTAAACTACTTGAGCAAGCATGACAATGCATCTCTACTATTTAGTAAATTCCTTTAGAAATATATGTCCTATAGCCTTCCTCCGCTTCTCTCCAGGCACCTGCAGCACAATAAAATTAATAGTAATTCCACAAAAATGAGAGATTAGTAATTTCCAAATTAATGCATGTCATAAGTCATGAAAGCAAGTCACATTTAAAAAAGAATTATTTAAAAAATAATATCATGAACACAATAGAACTTTGGATATGCTTTATTATGTCACAAATACCCAGGAAATGTAAGAAATAATTCTGAATGGTACTAATAATTTCACAAATACTAGTACTTTATTGATAACAGCCAAGCTTTCTAAGGTAATGCACATGTTACCTTTTTAAAATCTCAATTTTGTTTTATAAAATTTAAAAGGAAGTTATAGCAGATCCTACTTTATTTTTCAATATTCAGTGCAAAAGTCTTTATGTGATAGAAATATACATTTTAAAGGTGAGAGAAATGACTGCGTGCCTTAAGTTGTCAGACTTCCGTATTTGCACTTGGTACCACTATGTAAAAGATCAATCTTGGAAATGTTCCTCATAAACTAAAGAAAAAAAATTTTACAATAGCTCAGTCTTGAGAAGCATCAGCATACTGGTATAACTTTTAAAAGGGATGTTAAATATTCTTTTCCTTCCACAGGATGAAAGAGCATATCTGAAATGTTTCTTTTACTGAAGAAAACAATACTAACAGTTTAAGGCTGTATAGTGACAGCATTTCACCCACATCCACAGTGTAGATAGGAAAGTAGGCAATATTGATATTTCTGCCACATACCTAAGGAAAGAGAGATGAGAAGTTCACAGCCAAAGGTGGTGACTGAGTCTGGCGTACCACTTCGACATGGTGGGTGGGATGATCAGTTCCCGTGCCAGGTAATATTCTCCAAAGAGATGCCCTTTTATACGGTAATTGCAGCTACATCATTGAAATTTTTGTAAAATATATATGGACATACAAAAACTTACTAGGCAATTATTAAAGTGGGGGGAAGGGGAAATGTTAGTAGTTAAAACTGTGTTAATTCTAGGGTCTTTAAGGGGAAGATATAGGAGGGAAGAGGTAATGACAGTTTCCAAACCTAGTTTATGATCAGAATCATCAGATGGTGAGCTCAAAAAATTCTGTCTAGGGTCTCAACTTAAACCTATCTAGAAACTATAGCCAGGGAATTCATTTTTAAGCATTCAACCCAAGTTGATTCTGCTGCTCTGTCAAGGTTGAAACTTCTGAAGGGGGAAGGGAGTGGGAGGAAAGACAACCTAGGTAACTGCTGAAAATATTAGAATTCAACATCTGGTATTTATCAATTACTTTACGTTTTCATTTGTAAATTATCTCACCTTTTCTATTTTATTAATAGTGAATAATGAACAGGCTTGGCAAAAGAAAGAAAGAGAGTCAGCAGGGTGCTCAAAATGGATTTTACTATGTTCAAGCCAATTATGTACATTAATTGGATAAAAGGATATCAGCATAATGTTTGAAATTCAACTATCAGGCAGGTATTTCTTAATGGATTTTAAACACAAGGTTTCCTTATTCAACATGAAATGCAAAATATAAAAAAGCTCTAGACAATAATATTTAATAGGAGGAAAAAACTGTAGAATTATTTAAAATAATTGTTTTTAAAAGTCCAATATTAGGAAGAAAATCCCTTAAATTTGAGGTAGGGAAATAATTCTCACATGAGAACAACATGTCACAGTGTTATTCTCTAAGTTAAAAGTTAAGCAAAGTATTTCAGTACTATTTCTATGTATAAACTACTTTGTTAATGTAAGTATAAATTTTCTGAGTGTGAAATTTTTGGTTTTGATTTTTTAATGCATGTAATAATTAAAAATATGGATTGCTTTTCTTATACACTGAAATTGTACACACTCTCCAGGCTTGAAGAACAAACAATTTTTTAAATATCCCATGTTCACTTATAAACCTTGGAATAATAAAAAGGTAGTACCTACATAAGAAATTTTATATAAAAATTACAACTGTATGTTTTTCAGAAGTTAAAGTAATTTAAATTTTTTTCATATTCAAATACAAAATAGTACATTTTAATTTAATATAGCACAATTCAAGTATTCTTTTAAAATTTTATATTTAGTCAACTAGTGCATGATATTAAGTGGCTTTTTATAATAGCTCTCCTTTTTAAAGATGACTGTATACAAGAGTGTGACTCAGTATTACTCTAAATTGCTTAGAATAAGTTGAAATAAAAAAATGACAATACACAAAGATTTTTATCAGTAAATCATCAAAATATAAAAGGTCAAACACAACAGTAATAAGGTATTTTCAGGTAATTCCCCAAAAGTATTTGAACTCATGTAAACAAAGACTACTACGTATTTTCCTTTAAGAAAATGCACTACCCACAGATAAAACATACTCAAATGGTCGTGACTTTTAACCACATATTATTTGAATATCACAAAAACCAGACTAAACAGAACCTGTTTTAATAATCAATGATGATACTTATTATTCATGGAACAAAAAAAAGCTTGATCCTTTTTTGAAGCTAACAATGCAAAAAAAAATATTTGAAAATAAACATTTACTGTTTTCTAGAAATAAATATACACAGTTTAACATATTGCAGCACAGGAATCTTGCCCTAACTTTAACCATAACATTCAATCAGTAGTTTTAAAATTTTTTTTCCACACTGAGCCTTGAATCTTCTACCTTGTTAGCTGTCCCACAACTTTCAAAAGAGTTTTATTCTCCTGCTTTAGTTGTTCATTTTCATCTTCTATATCATCTAGGTCCTTAAACAAAAAGGGAAACAAAATGTGAGTTTTAAAAAACACGTAAAAAATATCCTAAAGGTGATTAAAAAAAAAACACTTCAAAAAATACACAAAGACAATTTATAAAAGTAATTCATTTGGTGATAAGGACAGGTTCTGAAAACGATTTTAGATGGGATATGCCTCACCTACAAGGAAACATTCACTACTCAGTTCCTTCTCATTGTTGTCATTATAAAGGGCCAACTCCTTCGAAATCTTTCCGTTTTGCAAGAGAAGGCAGAAAGTAAAATTCTTTCATTATAAATACTATTTTCAATCATAAATAACGACATTTTTTAGTTAAAGGCAAACCCCTCCTCCCCAAACTGAGTGCTAACCAAAATGCATATGAAGGCATTTTGTTCAGGGACCCTGACTGCAACCTTAAATAATGTATCAAAAGATCCAGGTCACAGTACTGGATGTACCTCTTCTACCTTGTGTGACTTTTAACAAATGTGTATATAGGAGGCTGAGAATATTGGGGAAGTGATACAGTCTGAAGCATACAGAGAGATCTCTTGTTCATTTTTTTAGTTATTTATGTATTCATTTATTTTTAACTAATGTAATATTAGGGTACACCCATTAGGTTTTACTACCATAGTTTACCCACCCCCAACTCTCCCATATTTCAACACCACACACCACTGTGCTTCCTACCCTTTTTATTCTTATATTTTTGACTTCTCTGTGACATTTTGTTAGTGGGAAAGGTTTTAGCTCTGAACAAAAATTGAAAGTCACTGAGTCAGATAATCACTGATTCTAGCTGTAAGGATATGTGACTCCAGCTCTATGTATTAATCTTCGTGCCATATATACAAACACTTGGTAAAAACAGATAATCCACTACAAATTTTCATTAGAAGAAACATTTCAAGGCAGACTATTTACTGGACGCTGTAAAAGCAAACACTTACAGATTTATCCTTGCAATTTCAAATAATTAAACTTGGAGCAATCATTTTGAATTTTAAGTGTGCTACAGGATAACAACATTTTGATAAATTTAGTCTACTATCCAATTAGGTAAATGATTTTAAAATGTATAAAAAAGAATTAGCATTTACTCATAAACTAAGTGAATGATGCTAGGATATTAACCTGTTGAAAACAAAACAAAAACATGAGCTCCCAAAAATACAAGTAGGGCTTATCTAATACTTAGAATAAAATGATATCACATACATGCAAATATCATTACAAGACTGGGAATATCACAGACAGATTGCAGGTTCATTTCTAGACCACTACCATAAAGTTATCAAAAAAAGGAAACCCCACAAATTTTTTTAGACTTCCAGTGCATATAAAACTTATGTTTACATTACACTGTGCATAATAGCATTATGTCCAAAAAAAAAAAAAAGTACATGCTTTGATTTTAAAATATTTTATTGCTAAAAAATGCTAACCATAATGACTCTTCAGAGGCTTTTATAAAAACACAGATATGCAAGGCTCCACAAGGTGAAGTGCAATAAGATGCTGTATGTGTCCATAAAATCTGTAAGGGCAGGAATTTTATTATTTCTTTCATTGCACACAGTGCCTAAGACAGTGCTAAACAACATAAAAACACTGCATGTTTTATTAAATTATATTACAGAACCAAGAGAGGAATTCTATACTCGGAACTAGTCCACAAAAATGGGAGAAGCTTATTTAGAATTAGAGGACTATCAAATACTTGAGGTCAAATACTGGCTCCGCTTATACAATGTGATTACTGCGAATGACCTGGAGCAAAGTTAAACTGAATTTTGGCGTTTCCTCATCTACAAGCTATAGTTAATACCTCAGCGCTTTTATTAGGATAGGTATGTTCATAATATGAAGTCTCTTTTCTCTTCTCCAACAGTTAAGATTGGGTTAGAGATTTGTCCCCTTTTTTCTCTGAAACAAACTTAATTCCCTTCATCTTATCTAAAAGTCTTCTTAACAGCAAAAAGATGTAATCTTTTCTTATTACCATTACCTAAGTATTAATAATCTGCTACATAGCATTAATAATCTGCTACTTAAGAAAGAAATCAGTCTCAGGGCTGAAAGCAAAAAGAAAAGTTGCGGCAGAGTAGGAGTAGGGACCGTGGGGTGGGGATGGGTTAAATCTAAAGTTGGCGATGGTTAATAGGAGAAAAAAGGTGGTGAAAATACATAAAGATATCTGGAATTTCTTATGCAAGAAAGTACCAATGTTAGGTCTTAACAGAGGCAATACTGTGCCAATGTCAGTTTCTGTGTCTCACTTCCAGACTACAACTGAATACAGAACAAATCCATTTATCAGTCCATCCCTCAAAGAATAAAAATAGCAATACAACTGAGAGTTGGCCAGAGGAAATCAATGTATGGAATGAAATGAGGGCTCTTTACTACAAATTACTCAGCTATAAAAAAGATAAACTCTTGCCATTTGCCACAAAGTGTTAGGAAATGGAGAGGATTATGCTTATGAAATAAGGAGAAAGCCAAGTACCAGATGGTGTCGCTTATATGGGGAATACAGAAAAACAAAACAAAGGGTCAGATAAAACAAAACCGTAAAAAACCCTAAGAGTGGGGAGGAAGCAAAACAGGCTGCCGTGGAGGCCTATGGCTGCCTTGCTGGTGGGTGTGCTGTGGTAACATATACCTGAAAGGCATGACCCTACAGCTCAAAATCATACAGTGTTGTAAATCAAAGTTACCTCAATTAAAAAAAAAGTCAAAGTTATTTCATTAACAAAAGAATAAACTACTGAAATTAAATATTTTTTCATATTTATGTATTTTCCTCCCTTGACAGGAAAAAGGAAACCATGAAACTTAAATATGCAAATACTCACTCTATTCAACAAATCAATTTCTTCTTTGAGTTTTCCAATCATTTCCTCTTTATCTTGCATTAGTCTCACAAGTCTTAAATTTTCTTGTCTCTCTCTTACTATTTCCTGGTAGATATAATTAAAGTGTTAATTGAAAAGTAATTGGTTGTTTATATTCTTAAATGGCACACATCTGCCCAAGAAAATTTTCAATGAACGTTTTAAGTCAACTGGTGAGGGAAAGAGGACCCCCCTCCCAGGAAAAAATGAGAAAATGAATTAAGTATTTCTGATTAAATATATGCTTACACAAGTCTTTAACAAATATGAATACTCAATGATTTGCCCTCTGTGATAGCTCATCACTACCATTAGTAAAGAAATATTTACATTTTTAATGGATAATATCCTGTTCAAGGAAATCCAAAATTTTTATTAGAAGTATAAAGACAAGGCTATGGCTCATGGGAAACTCCTAAAACAGAAAAATTATGGTCTTCAATTTCCTTCTGGCTGTCAGTTAACTGACAATGGATAAAAATTAGGATCTGAGACAGAATGCTGTTTTAAAATTATTTTTTCTTGAAAGAATGAATCACCTTGTAAATTTCAAAGAAATTTAGAATCTAGTGTGTTGGGCTAGGATAGCTACCTTGTTGGGCAAAAGAGAAGCAGAATTGAAAAGGTACCCCTTGAACTTGGCTCCCTTCTTACTGGCCATCAGAGAAAAGCAGCCAGCTGGCCTCTTCAATCCAGCTGCTGCCAACTGACAACTCAATGTTCAAACCCTTAGGGAACTTTGAAAGCCTTTCTGAAGACCCCACTTGAAACTTATTACAATGCGTATTCCTTGAAGTTTTAAATTTAAACCTGTAGAGACTAGTGTTAAAATTTAATGTGAACTAAAAATAATCATAATGTTTATAAAATAGAAACATTTAAAAAATTAAATCTTTACTTGAAACAATCTTTGTAACACAGATAATACTTTCAATTAAACACAGCAAAACATATTTTTAACAATCAGAAAGCAATTCTGTACCATTATCAACTTTAGGTTGAACATCTACAGAACAAACTTAAGACCACATGGTTAATAGATTTATATCAATGTTTGCTTGAGTTATTTTCAAAGATACTCCTAAATTACGTTATTTTTAAAATTCTTTCAAACACCCAAGATGGTCCTAGGCACTAACTCAGAACCCAGAGGTAAGTCTACAGATACTCTCTGTACAGAAAATACAGTAAGCACACAGACTTCGAACCACTGTTAAGGAAAAGGTGGCTTTCAATATAGTAGAGATAACACTTGGCAGAATCAGAGTATACATTAAATATAAAGAAATATAAAAACTGGCTTCACTTCCAAAAGTTTAATATCAACAGAACTGGAAAGTAGTAAGAAATCAGAAAATGCTTAGGCCACCTCTACACATCTAGAAATCATATACTTAAGACAGTAATTCAATGTTGTAATTTGAATATATGTGGACATAACAATTAACACAAATGATACTTCCCACTGGTGTCCCTCATTCTCTTTCCTTTTTCAGCATCATCTCCCCACTACAAATTTCAATTTACTTTGTCTTTCACAGCTGCTATAAAATTAAAAAAGGAATGCTAATGATATATTAATCTTATCAGTCTTAAATAATTTATAGTTCATACCTTTTCAAGCTCTTCAATTTTCTTTTCCAATGTGCTACTTGTGACCAAATTACCTGAAGCATTTGCATCCCTGTATCTGCTGATTGCACTTCTGTCTGTTCGGGGATGTCTGCTTGAGACATCTTCTTCAGAGGCAGTGGTTGTGCTACAGAAATAAAAAAATACCTACTTTATAAAAAATCCCTAAATACTCGCAAAAAGAATCTCAATATATTTTCTTCACCATAAACAATTATTATTCCTCTGTAGACACACGGTTATAATAGTTGACTTATTTGTAACAACAGAAGTTTAATCATTAGCCCAAGACCCCAAGACAATAAAAAAAAAAATTAAAGAAATGTTAATTCTTTCAGTCAATATCTACAGAGAAGTTGCTAAGTACCAGACATTGTTCTGAACACTGAAAATGTAGTGGTAACAGAAATGAACTCTGTCCTTCATAGTTTTCAGTTTAACAGGGAATGTAACCACAATTATAAGAAGGCAAGATGACCATGCCAGTATCAGTAATTGCAGAGTACAGAAGAATTAGGACAGGAGGGCCTCCCTGGTGGCACAAGGGGTTAAGACACAACCTATGAAGCTATTCCGCAGCCACTGCAGTGTGAGTTCGATCCCCAGCCAGGGAGCAGGCCACATGGTGCAACAGACCTCTACTGACTTGCCCCCTGCTCCCCTCAGCAGTGTTTCAGTCAGGCTGTCTGTTCTGCTCCCCACTCTGTCTCTGATGAATCCTCTCACCCCCACACCTCTGGCCTGTACCCCAGTTCTTGTATGCATAAATAAATAAATCTTTTTTTAAAAAAGGATTAGGATAGGAGAAATAATGTAGAGTATCTGTAGAACAACTTTCCTTTCACACTCCTTTTGATTTTTATTTTTAATATCAATTCATCATGGACCAAATACCTTTGTAACATCAAATAAAAATGAACTAGTGAGTGGCCTCCCCTGGTGGCACGGCGGTTGAGCACTGGGCTGCGAAGGTGCCAGCAGCCTCTGCAGCGTTGGTTCGCGGTGAGGATCCCACACAGCGCACACAACACTCCTGCCGCGCCCGCTGCTCCCCTCAGCAGTACATTTCCTCACTCTGCCTGTTCTGTTCCCCGCTCTGGCTCTGGTGAATTCCCTCACCCTCCCACGCTTCTGACTGTACCCAGTGCTTGTATAAATAAATAAATCTTAAAAAAAAAAGAACTGAAAAAATGAAAGTAAAAAAGTTCCACAAAATACAATCCAACTGTTTCTTTTAGATTCAGACACATAAAATTAATTTCAATAATATAATTAAAATAAACAGAAAAAAACGTGTATTTTTCATTGAAAGTACAGATAGCAATTTTTCATATTGAACATAACTCTGAACTAACAGCAAGTCAATGTTTATGTTTATAAAGTTTTTAATGCAGTTAAGTGAGCTTGCTTATTTTCTATATTAGTTCTCTACTGCTACATGAAAAATTACACCAAAACTTAGTGGCGAAAACAACACACATTATTGTGTGAAAATGTCTCTCAATTTCTGCTGGAAAGCAGCACTGGTGAGTGGTTACGATTCCAGGTTGCTTATGAGTTCTCTTATTTTAGTCAAGATGTTGGTCAGAACTACTTATCTGAAGGCTGGAGAATTCATCTCTAAGATCACTCCCAAGGCTAGTGGTAGACAGGCTCAGTTTCTCACTGGATATTGGCCAGAAGCCTCAGTTCCTTAGAACATAACTGTTTGCTCCTCAGTATGGGGGTTTCTCCCTGAGCTTCTCATCACACCACATGGTATCCAGCTTCCAGAAAGAAAGTGACACAGCAACCAAGACAGCTGCAGGTCTTGTAATGATCTAAATCCAGAAGTGACACCTATCATATCAACTCTGGGTAACAATGTGGAAGGAAATTACACAAGATGTAAATAACTGGAGGTAGGAAACGCTGGGGGCTTTCTAGGAGGCTGGCTAACACACTTGTTAATTTACCTAATTTGTTTGGATTAAGGACAATTCTGCTCACAAGGGATAATGTATAACTAAGCAACTTTATGTTTTAATAGTACAACAGAAAAAATAGTTTCACAGATAAGTGTTTACAGGAATACTGGAGGTTTTAAAGCAATTTCAGTAAATTAAAAATCTTCATTTTTAACTTTTACCTAAAATATAGAAAAATGATACTTTTCAAATTGTGTCTTTCATCCTTTACTAGTAGTAGTCAGTTCTATTCATTTATCCAGTATAGTTAAAATCTAAAAAACCTGACAAAAAAATGAATCCTTTATCTATTAATGTCTTCATGAAACATGAGTTTTCTCTAGAAGTAAAATAAAATTCAAGGAATATCTTATCAAATCTGTAAGGTGTCTGATTATAAACATTGTACAAAACCAAGATCACACTTCCTTTGTTACTATATTGTACAGTCCATCATAATAATTTTTAGAAATATTTCCCCAAATTTCTAATATTCATTTTGTCCTTTGATCTTTAACACTGAAAACACTTGACATTTTTCCTCTGCATGCAAAGAAAAAGTAAAGCTATCAGACAAATTAATCATATGTCACATAGTTTAAAAAGCTGGGGACAAACGGATTTCTTAGTTTGCCGGGAGGAAATAAAAAAGGACCTCATCCTAAAATTTAAATACTCCTGTCTGAAAGTTTCCCTATGCTACATACCTCAGCATATAACAGTTGGTGGGCTCAGCTTCCAAACTTTAATAAATTTATTTAAATCACAAATTTAATGTGTTCATATTTAAGTAATTCACACTGTGAATTACCTACTGTTAATTCAGCTGACAGAGGAAGTATACAGCTTCATTCAGCTGACACGCAAGGCTTTCTCAAGAGCAAAGACGGGTGTTGATGTGTATTTTGGGACAAGTTCCAGCATGTTTCTCCTGTCCTATATAATAGGACACACTTCCACAAAAGCAAAGCAAAACTCTAAACCACATTTGTTATTTGTTAGCTTCTCAAAAGTTTCATATAAGTCAGGGAAAACTGTGTTTTTGTTAGCAAGGAAGCAGAAAAATAAATTCTTTCATGGCATGGTCATGTTAGCAAAATCACTGTGTTCTTCAAATTTTAATAAAATTTCCTTTGTTATACTTATTTGTCTATGAATTGAAATTCTGGATCATACATTGTTCCTAAATATCAAGCTATATAATGCTGCTAGAAAATACACATGAACTACCTTCTTTGTTATAGCTTCATCTAACATTCTAAGCACACCTTTGTCTTGTCATCTGTGTGTAGTTTCTTAATGTTAGCAACCTGAATACTTTAAAAGAAGCTCACAAAGCACTAATGATCACAAATGAAATCTTGAAGATGTTTCTGTCAACTTAATTGTAATATTCTTTCTTTCAAGCAATGCCTTTGGGGGTTGTAAATGAACGTATGTCATAATATAAATGCCACTTATATTTTATTGGTTTTGTTTTAGTCACCAGGGTATCTTTGCAAATAACCCACTGTGCTTTTAGTATTTTCTTCCCCATTAATTATGGACAAAATTGGCTAATGTAGCTAAATATGTCTAAAACCTGAACTCAGTATTGCAGGGATAATGCTACCATACAAAAATAGTCCAAACGCTTAGAGTCTATAGTTCTTTGAGTCTATAGTTCTTTGACATTCCTTCCATTATTATCACTTGACTTACTACTATTGTACATTCGGGAAAAAAAGGTATCTTATTTTAAAAAAGCCTAATGAAGCTTGGATTCTCATAAGTAAATTACGGTTAAAAATAAAGAGTATAAATTTAGATAATTCAGATTTAGGTAATACTAACAAAAGCAGATATTAAAAAGAATGAAAAAATAATTTCTACTTTTTGCTTGTTTTATTTTTTATTTAATTATTATGCATTTACTTTTTCTATTATTTTATCTATGGGACAGAAATAAAGCCTGATTAACACAAAATTTTATAAAGTATATAGGTCTTACATTTTCTTCAATTCTTACATATTCTGGTTTACAAATAGCTAACAAAAATGTTATCTATACAGTAAAATACACTTTCTTCCCAGGCTCACATGGAATATCACCAAGATAAACCATATTCTGGTCCATAAAATGAATCTTCACAAATTTTAAAGAATAAAAATCAAACAATGTGTTCCCTCTGGCTAAAATAGAATTAAACTAGAAATTATTAACAGGAAGACTGTGTGGAGATTTAACAACATACTTTTATGTAACATATGGGTCAAAGAAAAAAATCCAAAGAGAAATTTTAAAATATTTTTGACCTATACAAAATGAACCCACAACTTTAAAAATGTTGGATGAAGCAAAATGCGGTGCACAGAGGAAAATTATAGCAATAATACATGTATTAGAAAGCAGTAAAAAGCTAAAATCAATATTCTCAGTTTCTTGGGAAACTAAAAAAGGAAGAGCAATGCAATGCAAAGCCAGCAGAAGAAATCAGAATTAGAGCAGAATCAGTGAAATGGAAAACAGGAAACAAATAGAGAAAATCAATGAAAACCAAACCTCTCTGAAAAGATTAATAAAATTAATAGGTCTCTAATAAAGGGAAAAAGGAAATACAAATCATTAATAACAGAAATGAAAAAAGGAACATCACTACAGATCCAAGTGGACACTAAAGGATAATAAAAGAATACTATGAAACAACTAAGTCTATAAATTTGATAATCTAGATGAATAAAACCAATTTCTTAAAAGACACAATCTGCCAAAACTCAAAGAATCTGAATAGGAATACCTATTTAAAAATATTGAATAAAAAATTCATAACCTTCCAAAACAGAAAGCAACAGACCCAGATGGGTTCTTAAGTTGATCCCACCAAACATTTAAGGAAAAATTACCAATTTTCTAAAATCTCTCCCAGAAGACAGAAGCAGAAAAAATACTTCCTTATTCTGTGAGACCAGCATTACCCCAGCAGACAAAACCAAACAAAGACATTAAAGAGATCAATCACCTGTAAATGGATACGAAGAAGATTCAATACTGCCAGATGTCAGGTTCCTCCCAACTTACTCTATAGATTCAATTCAAAACCCCAGTCAGTAATTTCTGGGTGTTGACAAACTGATTCTGAAGTCTACACAGAGTTAAAAGACCCAGAATAGACAACACAACGCTAAATATGACTAAAGCTGGAAGACTGTCACTGCCCAACTTCAATATTTAGTATAAAACTACAGTAATCAAGACAGCATAGTATTAACAAAAGCATACACAAAAAGAGGAAAGGGACAAATAAACCCATATAAATATAGTCAATTGATCTTCAACCAAGGAACAAAGGCAATGAAATGAAGATAGTGTTTTCAACAATGGTGACAGAAAAACTGAACATCCACAAAGGAAAAAAAAAAATCTAGACACAGACCTTACATGCTTTGTAAATAATAACTCAAATGGATCAGAGAACTAATGTAAAATGCAGAACTATAAAACATTAGCACTAACATTCTAATGTTCTTCCATTACATTACGTGATTCATGATACTTTACTCTCTTGATTTCTTTCAGTCACTTTGCTGATATGAGTAGTTCTTCATTTTCTATAATCATTGGCTATATATTAGTGTTATTTAGCTCTTTATCTTAACACTTTGTTCTCTCTCTGTTCTAATATTTGTGCCAGAAATTTACTTCACTCTGATGACTTCAGTTACTATCTACTCATATTATGAAGACTCAAATGATTAGCTCCATACTTGTATAACCAACAACTTTTAAGACTATACTTTGAGTATCTCAGAAGCATCCTAAACTCAGAATTCTGCTATGTAAACTTGGAAAGCCTAGTGGATTGCAGCAGATGCTATCAAAATCCACTGGTGCTCAAGCCAGAAATGTGGACTTTGTGATGTCCTAGATTGGTATGTTGACACTGGAAATAACACAGGAAATAAACACCACAAGTCTTGGTAAATAACTGGACACAGATAAGGTAGTTGGGGGGAAGGGAGAAAGATTCAAATTTCTGTCTGATTATCTTCATGGACCACAATTACTCAAGAAGCAACTACAATACTGACAACTATAAACAACCCAGAAATATGGACAATCCCGTAATAGTGTTATAGTTGTTTAATGTACAAGTTTAAAAACAAAAAGTTTCACCTACTAACATTTAAAAATTGTTAATAGGCTATCAATATATATAAATAACTACAAATTCAAAATAAGAAATAATGATTACTTAAGAACAAAATCAGACTTTTATGCCCAGGTCATATCAGGAATGTAAGGAATTCTGTTTCAATTGTGAATCACTGTTACTTTAACTTACTATCAAATTTAGTTCTGTTTATTTCAAAAACAGAAATATTTTTAACCTATTTTGAGAGCGGATATGTACAGTGCAAAAATACCCAGAATGAAACATCATTTCATTAACTCGAAAAAAGTTACTGGTAACATTCTAATCAGGAATGTTAATACAATTCCCAAAAGAATTGCCCTCTGCTCCTTCTAGCTATGAAGAAATTAACAATTATGTTCAGAAAAGGAAAAGAATAAACAGTATCATCATAGATAAATGCCACTCTTAACTAGAAGTTTTTTGCCCTCTGGGAATTTTCACATCTTCTGTGGAAAGATTAGATGGTGGTGTATGGAGGCGGGGAGAGGTGGGGGGGAGGCAGGGATGATAGAGAGCAACACTGTTATTCCAAAACTATCATGAGACCAAGATTGGCAGCATTCTGAGATTACCATGAAAGGAATTTTCCACTAAAATAGATATTTTAAAGCTAGCAATTAGAATAGAAGACTCATGAGTATAATCTACTTTTAGAATGAATATCAAATATTTAGAAGTATTAGAGAAATCATGAAATTCCTAAATAACCAATAGTACATGATTGCCCTTCATATTTCTAGTATATTTTATTACCTTATTCTCCCTACCACCACCCGTCCCTCAAAATAAACCCTTAGTCAATATAGGACTTCTCTTTCTCTTCTTCCTTTAAAATACACACACACACACACACAGACTTCTCTTTTTCTTCTTCCTTAAATACACACACACACACACACACACACACACACACACACCACCCCCCAACTACTAAACATCAAAATCAAACACTGACTCTTAAAATTGTGATGCATATTCACTGTAGGAAACAGAAAATATGAATCACTATCACAGTAATCCCACCAACTCAGATATAAATACATTTTACAACATATTAGTAGTTTGAATCATAGATGCCTTTAAAAATCTGATGAAAACTGTAGAAACATTTTCTTTTACATAGAATTTTTGAAGTTCATCACTACATCTTAAGAATGCTTTGTTTTATATACTTACACAACATAAAATAATAGATTGCATGTATCATATATCATACACTGTAATACGCTCTGCCTTTCCCCATTAAACATAAATGGGTAGTAATTTTCCCAAATTGTTTATCTTTCTACATCACCATTTTAATATCTGCATTATTAACTTCACATTAATACATTATAGTATATACCTCTCACTGTTAGAACCTTAAGTTGTACCAGTTAAGGACATAATACACGTTCACTTCAGTATTTTCCACAGTGAATTATCCTAGAGACCAAATAAAGTATCTCCTCAAACACATCTGATTGATGAAATTTCACTACCTGAGAGCTAGACAAAAGAATTCTTGGGGGGGTGGAGGGCATCCTTTGAAATATAGGTCATTTTATTTGGTTAGAAAAGCTAAAATTACATACACATTCTTAATTCTAATGTGCATCTCCCAAACAGCCAAGCGCAGGAACTCTGCACCTCAGACTATTCAGAAACTCTGACTTAAAACATACACTGTTTTTCAGAAAGAAGTTCACTGAAACAATATTAATAACTTCTGTGTATGAAATTTCTATATACCGAAATTAAAGATTCATATAAAAATGCACATGTAAGTTTTCACAGCATCTTATGTATTCTAATATAAAAATTCACATTAGGCAAAAAGTGGAAGCAATCCAAATGTCCATCAACTGATAAATGGCTTAAAAAATGTGGTTTATCCAAGTATGCTGAAACAGATGAATCCTGAAAACACGCTAAGCGAAAGAAGCCAGACACAAAAGGCCACATATTGCAGGATTCCATTTATATGATATAGCCAGAAAGGCAAATTTATAAAGACAAAAAGCAGAATACTGGTTGCTAAGAGCTGTGGAGAAGCTTGGAAAAATGGGGATTGACTGTTTAATCAGGTTTCCCCTTTTTGGAGGGGACAGAAAGTTCTGGAGCTAGTGGTATTTTTGTTCTACAATAATGTGAATGCATTATAAACCACTAAATTGTATTAATTCCTAAGACAAATTTTATATTTGAATTACATCTTAATAAAGTGCTTTAAAGTAAAATTACATCAAATATTATGATATAATTTCTCTTTCATGATCTGAAAGCTAATTAAATCTTGTTGGACCTCAAGATCATAGGAACAAGAGTTATGATACTATTTTGTAAATAGAACAAAGTCAAGACAACTGTGAAATACAGGACTTCATATACAAAAGTCACTTTAAAAAAAACCAGTTACTGGTACTTCCAATTACTTGGAATCTGAATAAGCTAAATCAACTCTGAATGAATCATTCCACATTCTACCCATAAAAGATAAATCAATAGGTCACTATAAATTACAGCAACATGTCTATAATTAGGTAGTCAAATTACATCTATTTAATCTCACACAGATCATTAAACTTCACTGCGCCTCAGTTTCCTCAAGTGTAAGATGAGAATAAAACTGCTCCCTCATGGGCTTATTGGGGGAATTAAATGAAATTTATGTACAGGAAAAGTACTTTGAATAGTGTTTGGGACATAGAAATAACATTTAAATCTTAGCTAATAATATTTACAAAGCAGGGAAAGGTTTACAAGTCCACAAAGGATGAATTCGGACCACAAAATGTACCAGGATCTCAATTACATTTTGTGATTTTTGTGTCCATGTGCAAAATCCATTAGCCAGAAAAGGCACAGCTTTTGTATGCTTTACAGCACTTGATAAAATATAAAATTCATAAGCTAATACAGAAATGAAAGATCTTGAGATGGAATAGATTTCTCTAGAAAAGGTCACATAAAACCAACAACAACTGGTCACTTCACAAATACTGAACGATTCATTTGGTGTTCTTTAGCCTGGATTTCTTGCCTTTAAAGATTCTGGTTTGACCCCTAACAACAAACCAGGAAAGTTGCTTGTAACTCAGTAGTTCTCAAAACTACATGTACAGTGAAAAAGAACTACTAGTTTTAAAACCATGATCATGAAGAAAATTTCACAGAAAAAAGTTAATAGCTGTGTTGCAAAATCTTGTATCTCTGCATGAAAATGTACTCCTAAATAAATTATACCCTTTACAAACTTAAACAAATAGGTTCTATTAAAATTCCTATGAAAATATTTATGTAAAAAATCATAGTGTTCAAAAGAGGATTATCTGAAATAAGAAGGGAATGGAACTGAATTGTGTACCCCACAAAAATTTGCAAAGTGATGGTGTATTTGGAAGTGAGGCCTTGGCTGGGGCGGGGGTCATCAAGTACAGATGAAGTCATAAGGGTAGAGTTCTCAGGATGAGATTAGAGATACCGAAAAAGCCACCCTCTCGCCATCATGTGAGAACATAGCAAGAAGACAGCCATCTGAATGCCAGATCGGAACCCAGCCACACTGACATCCTGATTTGGACTTTACAGCCTCCATTACTGTGAGACCATATATTTCTGCTTAAGCCACATTCTGTCTATTGCATTTTGTTATGGCAGTGTGCAATGTCCATGACAGGTGGTGTACTTATAATTTCAATGTTTAAACACATAAAAGAAAATGATTCTAAACTTATTTTGCTAACTTCACCAGGCCCATGTAAACGCACGACGTGTGCAATTTTTTCCTTTTTCGGTGTGTGCAATGTTTTAAAATATAGGGTGTATCAGATTAAGTCACAGTTAGACATACATTATTTTCCTGACTACAACATAATTTCTCTTTAAGAGCATATATTAAGGTCTCATATTTTTCAAAAAGCTGCTTAAAAACAATTCTAGCTAAGCAATGGACAGACAGACATTACACTCATGGCTATGACATGTTGTAATTCACAACTTACAGACTCTTACCTTTTATATCTGCCTGAAACTGCTCTAGACGGCTCCTGTAAAGTAAAAATAATGACATATCAATTTGGATGTGTGTACAAGCACACAATTACAGATTATAGAACATAGCTGATAGTGAAGGTCTAATTTTGAAATAAATTAATTTGAAGCAATAACCATTAATTTTAAAAATCCACAATGCTGGTAACACAAAACAATACTTCACATCTGATTTTTCAGGAAAAAACAATCACTTAAATTTTTTTTTTAACTTGGTAGTATTTTAAAAGTCCCAAAACTAGCCTCATTCATCAATCAGTTAAACACTTTTGGAAGTCAATGAGCATTAAAAAAAAAACCACTATAATATATATGTATATATTATGATTATATATATATAAGCCATAACCATTATAAACATATACACATACAAATACCTACACACACATATATATATATACATCTATATATGAATCTGTATGTTTTTTAAGCTCCCAGTTTATTTTTAAAAAGTTACAATTCACCAAAGACATATAATGATAAATGCTTGTTTTTAAAGACAGGTAAGAATAAAAGGAAAAGTATTTATATTATAGTTTACATCATTCTTCATTTTTGTACATTGTATGCTTTCTCCTCTCGGGTGTGGTCCCCATGAAATTTCCACCACCAATTCACCCATGCACCATCACCAAAGTCCCTTGTGCTATTCCCACCCCTAGCTTGATCCTTCTCCCTCCTCCTCCTCTGTAGAAATGTCTCTGATTTATAGCTGCCTGTTGATTCTGATTTTTAATTTAGTATTACTCTTTTTAAAAGGAAAGTATTTTTAAGATGATTCTAATATACCAAAAAGAAAAGAAGTTTGCTTAAAGTTAACATTAACCATTAGGGTGGTGAAATTATTACCTTGCAACCAATGGAGAAGTTATTTTTTTGTTCAGGCTTTTGATACCTCAGACTTGAAATGTTTTTATAGTTTCACTTTAAATAAAATCAGTCAAAATTAAATAATGAGTCTTTTAAAAATAATGAGTCCTGATAATAACTTTTTTCCTAATTAATTGTTGAAAGTCTCCAAGAGAGACCCCACAACTGAAAAATTTCAGATCTGGTTAAAATAAGAGAATAAGTTCCCTTTATAAATTACCAGATTCTTGACTAAAACAGGAAATAATGTCTTCATGGTGCAATGTAGGCAAATAGTACAGCAAACCATACAGTTAAGATTTAGGTCTAAAGTCTGACCAGATTAGAGACTGTGAGACTATCGGTAAGTTATTCAACTTCTATCACTTCCAGTATTCTCATCTCTAAAAATAACAACAAAGTCAATTTTACTGGATTGTTGTGGATGTTAAATTATACAAGTGAGTAAAACAGCACAATGTTCTTAAAATAAGCAAATTTCATAGCTAAGACAAAAAAATATGGAAAAATGTTTACTTTTCTATGTAGAATTTTAGTAAATCGATCTTAATTATTCCAAAACAATAAATTCCCATTATAACAGCCTAAACCACTTATTTAAATATAGATTTATATCAATTTTTCTTGCCAGTGTCTCATGTTCTAAATAAAAGATAAACTTCCCAAAGAAACAGAAAATTTCAATATACTATTAGTAAGCGGAAAGAATCAGTCAAAAAAAAAAAACTTCCAACAAACAAAAGTTGAGAAACAGATGTCTTCAACTTGTGAATACTAACAGAAGAACTAATACCAATACTTCTCAAACACTTCTAAAAAAATAGAAAAGGGAACATTTCCAAACTCATTTTACTAAGTGAGCATTATCCTAACCAAACCAAAACTAGAAATGACACCACAAAAAAAAACTATAGGCAAATATCCCTGTTAAATATAGATGTGAAAATCCTCAACAAAATAGTGACTCAAACTCACAATATATTAAAAGGATTTATCCAGGGATGCAAGGATGGTTCAACATGTATAAATCAATCAACATGATACACCATATTAACAAAATAAAACATTAAAAATCACATGAGCATCTCAGAAAGCATTTGACAACATTCAACACTGTTTAAGATTTTAAAACTCTCAACAACTTGAGAAGGAATGTACTCAAAATAACTAGGCCATATGACAAGCCCACAACTAACATCATACTCAATGAAAATGTGAAAGATTCCTCTTAGATCAAAAAAAAAAAAACAAGGATGCAAAGTCTTCCCATTTTTATTCAACATAGCACTGAAGTCTTAGAGCATTTGGGTTAGAAAAAGAGGTGAGGGCCTCCCCGGTGGCGCAGCGGTTGAGCGCTGGGTTGCGAAGCTGCCCGCAGCCTCTGCAGTGCCGGTTAGATCCACAGCCGCTGGGCGAGCGGGCGAGCGTCCCACACAGCGTGCAGACCTCTCCTGCAGCCCGCTGCACCCCTCAGCAGTGCACTTCGTCACTCTGCCTGTTCTACTCTCCGCTCTGGCTCTGGTGAATTCTCTCACCTTCCCGTGCCTCTGACTGTACCCAGTGCTTGTATAAATAAATAAATAAATCTTTTTTTTTTTTTTTTTTTTTTAAAAAAAGGCTTTTTAAAGAACGAAAAAGAGGTGAAAGATATCCAAATAGGAAAGGAAGATGTAAAGCTCTCACTATTTGCAAATGACATACTATATACAGAACACGCTAAAGCTACCAAAAAACTGTTAGAAATAAGCAATATATTCATAAAGAGAAATTAAGAAAATAATTTATAATTGCATCAAAAAAGAATAAAATACTTAGGAATAAACTTAACCAAAGAGTTGTGAAAGACCTACACAATGAAAACTGTAAGACACTGATCAACTATCTTAGAAGACATAGATAAATGGAAAGATATTCTGTGCTCATGGTTTAAAAGAAGTTTTAAAATATCCATACTACCCAAAGTAATCTGTAGATTCAATACAATCCCTTATCAAAACCCCAATAGTATTTTCCACAGAAAGAGAATGAACAATCCTAAAAATTTATATGGCACTACAAGGGACCCCAAAGAGCCAAGAAAAGCTTGAAAAAGAGAAACAAAACTGGAAGCATCCAGCTCCCTGATTTCAAAATCTAGAGTGATCAAAAGGGTATTGCAATTAAAAAAAAAAAAAAAAAACAGAACACAATGGACAAATTTACAAGTCAAGAGGATCATGAAAATAGGCTCAATATCACTAATAATTAGGGAAATGAAAATCAAAGCAACAATGAGCTTCTTCACAGTGAAAGAAACTATCATTAAAATAAAAAGACACCCTACTGAAAATAATCCTCACATCATACATCCATACATCCATCTGACAGGACCTGATAACTAAGGTCTACAAAGAACTCATACAACTCAAGAAAAAGAAAACAACCCAATCAAAAAATGTGTGAAAGAATTAAATATAGTCAATAAACAGAACTACTATATGAACTAGCAATTCACTTCTAGGTATTTATCCAAGAAAATTGAAAACAATTAAGAGACATGTTCCTCTCCAAGAAAATGTGGTATTTAAACACAGTGGAATATCATTCAGCCATGAAAAGGAATGAAATACTGCCATTTGCAAAAACAATGATGGACCTTGAGGGCATTATGCTAAGTGAAATAAGTAAGAGAAAGATAAATATTGTATGACTTTATTTACCTGTAGAATCTAAAAAAAAAAAGCCAAGCTCACAAATGACAATAGGCTAGTGGTTGCCAGAGATAAGGGAATGGGGTGGGAATAGGAGGGATGGGGTGGATTATGAGTGAAACTTTACAAATTTACCATTAAAAATAAATTGTCATGGGTACATTATTTATATCATTGTGACTTCAATTAATAATACTGTATGGGGCCTCCCCGGTGGCGCAGCGGTTGAGCACTGGGTTGCGAAGCTGCCCGCGGCCTCGGCGGCGCCGGTTCGATCCCCGGCTGCTCCCCGGTCACCAGCGAGGGTCCCACATGGCGCGCAGACCTCTCCTGCCGCCCGCTGCTCCCCTCAGCAGTGTACTTCGGTCCTTCTGCCTGCTCTGCTTCCCGCTCTGGCTCTGGTGAATTCTCTCACCCTCCCGCACTTCTGACTGTACCCAGTGCATGTATAAACAAAAACAAACAAACAAATAAATAAATAAATAAATAAACATGCCTCTATAAAAAAAAAAAAAAAATAATACTGTATGGTAGGGCCTCCCCTGATGGCACAGCAGTTGAGAGCTGGGCTGCAAAGCTGCCTGCAGCCTCTGAGGTGCCGGTTCGATCCCCGGCCGCCAACAAGGGTCCCACATGGCGTACAGACCTCTCCTGCCGCACCCACTGCCCCCTCGGCAGTGTACTTCGGTCCTTCTGCCTGTTCTGTTCCCCGCTCTGGCTCTAGTGATTCTCACCCTCCCACACTTCTGACTGTACCCAGTGCTTGTATAAATAAATAAATAAATCTTCAAAAAAAAAAAAAAACTGTATAGTATATTTGAAAGTTGTAAAAAGAATGACTCTAAAAGGTCTTCATTATAAGAAGATAAATTTTGCAACTATATATGATTATGGATGTTAAGTGGACTTGTTGTGATTTACAATAGATAGAAATATATGGAAATACTGAAACATTATGCTATGCAACTAAAACCAGTTTAGGGTTGTATGTTAATATACCTCAAAATTTTTCATTGAAAACACTTGTCAAAAGCACACACACAGTTTGCCACACACACAGTTTGTTTCCCCTTTCCCACTCAAACACAGTATATAGTAATATATGTATTTATATACAGCAAATATATGCTCAAATAGTATATAGTAAATATATGTTGACTTTGTATCCAAAAAAAACACTACTTGGGAATTAATCACTTGCAGGAAGTAACCAAATGACAGGACACTAGAAGTGCAGGTGTGTGGGGGTGAGAGGGCATAGGAGTTGACCCCTTAACAGGATTACCTCCGGTGAAGCCATGCTTAAAGAGTTGGTTCAAAGACATTTAACCCTCCCCTGTGCACTGGCTGTTGTTACAGCAGGGACAGTAACTACAGCCAAGAAACTAAACTTTAAAGAGTTTCTTATCTGCCGGTTATTAAAGCAGCAGCACCTA